ACGGGCAAAAATCTAATGTGGTAGAATTTCACTGTCAACATTTTATATGTTGCTAATGGCTTCGTTTTTCGATTAAGAGCTCGATCTATCCTTTGAAAACTTTATATTAATTGCATATTTAAAGAGTTAAAAGCAAATTCATATCGGGTCCGACTAGATATTAATAAGAGGTCCCTCAAGACCATTGAGAAGAGTATCCGACCGTAAACTTTAGAACCACGTGGAATTAGTCGAGGTGCACGCAAGTTGACTCAGATATCCACGGTTATAAAAAAAAAATATTAATAAGAGGCAATTGAAGTGGGCTATAAAGATTGTCATAGATAAAGTCAATGAAGTATAAAGATTTTCGGGTCATCAATACTTCGATTGTGTACAAAAATGATTTTAGGTTCAGTTTACTTCATTTATTGGGAAAACTATAGCAGAAACTTTTCAGGTGACTACTTCTACAGTACTAGTGTTGACCCCAAAAAATGAACTCAACAGATACCTAGTTCACTCTTGCCACGTCAAGTAAGGATCAGACACGTTTCTACCAGAACAGGAACGATGCTGGAATGGACGCAGGAGACACTTTTCGGCAAGAGACAAAAATGATCGGACTCCGACCGTGTGATTTGAAGGCAACCACGCTATTTACAAAGAGAGCATATTTATGCTGTCGTGACCGAGGTGGTGACCATTGGACCAGAACCACGTGGCCTCATCTCCTTTGTTAGGATGTCACATCATTATCCATTCATACAATTAATCCATTTATAAGGAATCAACCGCTCTATACAATAGGCTGACACACTGTCAAAANTCCATTCATGCAATTAATGCATTAATAAGGGGTCAGCCGCTTTATACAATTGGCTGACACACTGTCAAAACTTTATTACAAACGTCACATCAATCACTTCTAAAAGATCTTTAAATATATTATAAGAAACAGCGTCAGCTTAGTGAACTTCGGAAGAGTTGAGAGCCTCAGAGAGATCTTTGAGGTGGTCCTGTAAGTGAAGAGCATCAGCTCCTATCTTTGTATCCTTAGGTAGTGGTTCAGCTCAAGCACGTTGGTTAGTACCTCTTTAGGCACCTCGGCTAGTCTCATTTTAATGGGATAACAACTAGTACTTAAAAATTTGTGATTTCCATCAAAAACTACGGAAATTTCCACATTACCTATTACTTCGACATGTTGATTTCTACTACTTTCATGCTCTCAAATGTCAAATGTGACGATCTTAGAAATTTCGTGATTGGATTGTCTACAACGGAGTGAACATTACCATCAATTTTGTCGGGTAGTCATTCCCTTGATTGTTTGCTCCAATTTCAAAGATTAGCTTTAAGAAAGGGGAAATATAAATATTAAATTATGATAATTATCTGGTCTTTTTCCATAATGTT